TCTCTCAGGGAGGAGTGATAGGGAATGGCAAGGGACACACTGACAAAGGAGATTAACCAGAACTAGCTTTGACAAGCACTGTGGCAACTGGACAATTAAAACAGACATGGGGGGGAAGAAGAACGAACTGGGGATGAGGGTGGAGAAAACAGTGCAACAATGAATGAATGAAAACCCAAAATATCTGTAAATGCTCATTATAACTAATAAAATTTAATAATAAAAAAAAGAATAATGGGTGACTGGAATGCAAAAGTTAGGAACAAGGAAAAAGGATCAGTATTCAGAAAACATAGAATTGGTGACAGAAATGAGGCTGGAGATAGAATGGTAGAATTCTGTACATTCGATGGTTTATTCATTGCAAATATATTTTTAGAACTATATATGCAGACTACACACATGGATTTTACCTGGTGGTACATGCACAGAAATCAGATCTATTACATCTATGGAAAGAAACACTGGAGAAACTCAATATATCTGTGAAAACTAGGACACGTGCTGATTGTGAAATAGACCACAAACAAGTCATATCAACTATTCACCTGCAAGTTTAAAATAAAGCTAAAGAAGGTTACATCAAATCCACAGAAACCAAAATTTGATCTTGAGTCATCCCATCTGAATTTAAAAACCATCTCAGGAAGAGTTTTGAGGCTTTGAACACTGATAAGCAAAGACCAGATGAGCTGTGGAAGGAAATCAACAATCTCATTCAGGAATAATGCAAAGATCTTTCCAAAGACATAGGAGGAAGAAAACACCAAGGTGGATGTCAGAAGATACTCTGAATATTGCACTAGAATACAGAGAAGCCAAAGTAAAGGGAAGAAATCAATAAGTTAAGGAGCTGAATAGAAGATTTCAAAGGGCAGTGCAGGAAGGTAAAGCAAAGTATTATAATGAAATGTGCGAAGAGCTGGAGTTAGACAATCAAAAAGCTGAACTCATTTGGCATTTCTTGAACTGAAGAACAAACTCAAGCCTTGAGTTGCAATACTTAAGGATGATGGAAGGAGTATACAAAGTCACTGTATCAAAAAGAATTTGCCAACACAGAAGAATTTCATGAAACAACATGTGACTAAGAGCCTATGGTGATGAAGGAGGAAGTTCAAGCTGCTCTGAAGGAACTGGCAATAAACAAGTCTCCAGGAATTGACAGCATGCCAAGTGACATATTTCAACAAATGGACACCGCCCTGGACACGCTCACCAAGTTGTGCCAAGAAATCTGGAGGACAACCACCTGGAAGACTGGAAGAGATCTATATTTGTTTGCCCTCCAAAAAAAGAAGACTCAACAGAGTATGGAAATCATCAAACAATATCATTAATATCACATGCAAGCAAAATGCTACTGAAAATTATCCAAAAACAACTGAAACAGCACATCAACAGAGACCTGCCAGATGTGCATCTTGGATATAGAAGAAGCTGTGGTACTAGGGATATTATAGCTAATATTAGATGGATCTTAGCAGAGAGCAGAGACTCCCAGAAGAATGTCTATCTGTATTTTATTGACTATGCATAGGCATTTGACAGTGTGGATCACAACAAATTGTAACTAACCTTGAAAAGAATGGGGATCCCAGAACACTTAATTGTGCTCATGCAAAACCTATACTTGGACCAGGAGGCAGTCATCAAAACAGAGCAAGGAAACACTGCATGGTTCGAAATCAGGGAAGGTGTGCATCAGGGATCCATCCTATCTCCACACCTTTTCAAACTATACGTGGAACAGATCATTTGGGATGTTGGGCTCTATGAGGAGAAATGTGGCATCAGGATTGGAAGAAGGCTCATCAACAACCTGCATTATGCAGATGACACAAGCTTGCTTGCCGACACTGAGGAGGACCTGAAGCATTTGCTGCAGGGCAAAGACTGCAGTCTTCAATGTGGATTGAAGCTCAATATCAAGAAAACAACAGGGCCAATTGGCAGCATCATGATAGACAGTGAAAAGACTGAGATTGTTAGCAGCCACAGTTTGCTTACCTCCACAATCACTATTCTTGGTACTGGCAGCCAGGAAATCTAAAGAGGAATTGCATTGGGAAAATCTGTCGTCAGGGACCTCACCAGAGTACTGAAAAGCAATGATGTCAGTCTGCAGACTAAAGTGCCCCTGATCCAGGCCATGGGCTTCACAACTACTTCTATGCATCAGGAAACTGGACAATGACTAAGGATGATAGAAGAAGGATCAATGTCTTTGACCTGTGGTGCTGGAGAAGAGTATTGAATATGCCATAGACTGATAGAAAAACAAACAAGTTTGTCCTGGAGAGGGTGAAACCAGGCTATTCCTTGGAGGCAAGGATTCTGAAGCTCCATCTGACATATTTTGGGCATGTTGCAAGGAGGGAACAGTCCTTGGAGAGGAAGTAACATCATGCTTGGGAATGTGGAAGGACAGCACAAGAGAGGAAGACACTGGATAAAATTGATTTACTCAGTGACTAGAGTAGTGGGGGGTAGGTATGTCATAGAAAATAAGGTTGGCTCAGGATAGAGCAAGGTTCAGATTTGTTGTACATGTTGCTATTAGTCACAAGCAACTTGATGGCACATAACAAAAACAGCAAACCAACAGGCAACTGATCTTCAACAAGAGATGAAATCAATTAAGCGGGGAAATGAATACCTCTTTAACAAATACTGCTGGCAAAATTGGATAACCATCTTCAGAAAACTGAAGCAAGATTCAAACTTTATACCATACATAAAAACTAACTCAGGGTGAAACAGGGACCTATGAGGAAAACCAAAAGCTATAGAGTTCATCAGAGAAAAATAGGAACAAATTTAGAATCCCTAATATATGACATGCATGAACCTCCGAGCATAATGGAAAAAACCTACAACTAGGACAGAATAAAATAAATGAATGAGACCTTCCGAAAATCAAGTCCTTGTATGCATCAAAAACTTGTCCAACACAGTAAAATGGAAGCCCACAGACTGGGATAAAAATTTGGTAATAACATGTCTGATAAGGGATTCATAACTAAAATTTATAGAATAATCCAGCATATCAACAAGAAAAAGACAAACACCACAATCACAAAATGGGCAGAAGAGGTAAAAGAAGAAGAAAGGTAGACTACCAGCAAATTAAAAAATGCTCTAAGTTGCTAGCTATTGTTGTTATTATGTGCCGTTGAGTTGGCTGCGATCCATAGCAACCCTGTATACAACAGCTCTGAACCCTGCCCTATCCTGGGCCAATCTCACCAATTGCGACACACCAACCCCCATTACTCCAGTTACTGTATCAATACATCTCGTCCAGAGTCTTCCTCTTCTGAGAGCATTATGTCCTTGTCCAAGGACTGGTCCCTCTTGGCCACATGCCCAAAGTATGTGAGATGGAGCTTCAAAATCCTAGCCTCCAAGGAGAAACTTGGTTTCACCCTCTCCAAGACAGAAGTATTTGTTTTCTTGATGGTGCATGAAATGTTCAAGACTCCTCTCCATCATCACAACTCGAAGGCATTGACTCTTCTTCTGTCATTCTTAGTCCTTGTCCAGCTCCCTGCTAGCTATTAGAGACATGTATATCAAAACAACAATGAGATACCATCTCATCCCATAAAAAATAGCAATGTTCAACAAGACAACAAACAACAAGTGCCAGTAAGGATGTAGAGAGACCAAAGTCTTATTTGCTGCTTGTGGGAATGTAAAGTGCTTCAATCACTATGGAAAGCAGTATGGAGCTTCCTTTAAAAGTTGGAAATAGAGCTGGTGGTCTTCCTGCCAACTTTGTGTCTGAAGATGGGTGTTCCCTATTGCATCATCAAGGGCAAGGCCAGGCTGGGCTACCTCATCCACCGGAAGACCTGCACCACTGTTGCCTTCACACAGGTGAACCCGGAAGATAAAGGCGCTCTGGGGAAGCTGGTAGAAGCCATCAGAACCAATTACAATGACAGATATGATGAGATCCGCCGCCACTGGGGAGGCAACGTCCTGGGGCCCAAGTCAGTGGCCCACATCACCAAACTGGAGAAGGCCAAGGCCAAAGAACCCACCACCACTGGGCTAATGTACACACTGACTCTTCTGTACATAAGAATAAACTTATTCCACCGTCTGCCACTTGGAGAAAAAAAATTGGAAATAGAAATACCATTTGATCCAGCTATACCAATACTGGGAATATATCACCAAGATATCAGAGCTGTCACACAAACAGATGCACGCTCATGTTTATTGCAATATTACTCATAATAGCAAAGAGATGGAAGCAATCCAAGTGCCCAGCAATAACTGAATGGATAGAGAAACTATAGTACATTCAAATAATGGAATATTACATACCACTGGAAACAATGAACTCTTAGAACTCTATACAATCAGGATGATTCTGTAAGACATGATGCTGAGTGAAATATCTCAGTCACAAAGTGACAAATACTACATAAGCCCACTATTGTTAATAATAGGATAGAATTGGGGGGGGGCAAGGAAGAGCAGAAGAAGAATGGATAGAGAATGAACACTGCACTGGAATGGGTGAAAGGAGTGAACAATCATGACAATTAATAGCCTGGAACAGGACAAGCACTAAAAAGGGAATTGGGAAAGAGAGACAGAGAAAATACTCATGCTCAAATGAATGAAAACCAATCCCTACATAGACCTTCACCAATTAAAAAAAAAAAAAAATTAAAATAACGAAGATATTCTGGGAGCAATTTGGGCTGCTAGCGGATAACTCAGTCCAGGCAGGGAAAGAGACTAGTAGAGGGGTAATTTTCACTCTTGCAAAGAAGACATCAGCTCAATCTAAATCCGGAAGTGACCAAGCAGATCTCCCTTGCTTCAGGAGAAAGTGCTGGGTGCAGTTGGCTTTAGGCCAGCAGAAGGGTGGCTGAGGCCTGTGAACACTCAGGGTGTAAGGAAGGAGTAAACAGCTCCCAGCTCCCGGCTCAGAGATACTCCCTCAGGTATAGCTGCTGGGCTTAGAAATACCTTGGTGTCACTAGGGGACCTGTTACCTACAGTCCCAAAGAATGAAGGACCTTCCTTTAGCTTCTAGAGCAGCTAGTTAGGTATTTATTAGAAATTTTCCAAATTAATGAGTCCTAGAGGGATTTGCTTAGCAGAGAAAAAAGGCCGGGAGGTTCTTGCTGCCAACGTAAGTGGGCCTGAGGACCAAAGACAGGTTTCAGAGGGGAGTGGGTATGATCACCAGACTCACCAGGTTCTTGTATTCCCAAATGGGCTTCGACTAAAACAGCTTCTGATAACACCAGGTCATGGGCAAATGCTGTAGGTTTGCTCCTCAATTTATAGCAAAACCCAAATTTAGGCTGTAGGAAATGGAGTTTTGTGCCAGCTCCCAACACTTTTCCCCTTTAGTATTATGATTGTTACAAAGGGCAAGTGGCCTAATCCATAAAGAGCTGCACTGCCACCTCAAAAATTAGATTGTTTACTGGTTCAAATGCACCAGCAGCTTCACGGAAGAAAGATGGACAATCTCCTCTTAGCAATTCACAGCCTTAGGAAACCCATGGAGGGCAGCTGTAAGTCAGTTCAGAACAGAAGACAATTTTTCATTTGTTTCAATGATTGTCACTGTTGTTACTAATATGTGCTCCAACACCTCAGCTCAGCCTCCCTTTGGCACTCAATCTTTATCTTCGTTTCTTCCTCCACAGGAAGCACCCTGACTCCAGGGCCCCAGGCCTTTCATCCCTCTCTGTCTCTATATCTCTCTATCTCACCCTAAATTCCACATGGTGTGTTTCATTTTTGTTAGTTTGTATATTGTCTGGTGCTTATTGATTCCCATCCTCTACTTTATTTGACTGTAAGCCATAGCACAGTTTTGTCTGTCTTGAAGGACGTGCAACCAGGGTACTCCTTAGATGGTGAAACTTCATCTTACACACGTTGAGCATGCTGTCAGAAAAGGGCAGTCTTGGCTGGGTGGGGACTGGGGGATGATCATGTTGAGAAAGGTCAAAGAAAGACGTTCAACAAGATGGATTAATGTAGTGACTGTAACAGTGAGCTCAGCAGATGAAATTGTGAGGATGATGCAAGATAGAGCAAAGGTCATATGTGAATTACATATTCACTTAACAAACTGGCTGTGAATTACAGCCAATTTGATGACATCTAATAACACCAACAACATATCCTTTGAATTTAACACAGGGCCTGTACTTTGTGTTTTAACCTTCATTATAATATTAATTTTTATAAAACTCAAACTGCTCTCTTTGTTATGTTTGTTGTTAAGTGCTATTGAACCAGCATCAACTGATAGCAAATCTATGTAAATTAGATTGAAGCCTTGCCCTGTTTTGCACCATCCTCACAATCTCTATGGTGTCACCTCATTGTTGCAGGCACTGTGTAAATAATCCATCCATTGAGCATCTTCCTCTCCTTTTCTGACCCTCCACTTTTCCAAGGATTAGTGTCCCTCCTGACACACGTAAAGTATGTGCAATGAAGTCTTTCCATCCTTGCCTCTAAGGAGCATCCTGGGTGCCTTCTTGGATAGGTTTGTTTGTTCTTTTGCCTGTCCATGATGTATTGCATAGTCCTTGCCAACACCACAATTCAAAGGCATCAATTCTTTTTCACTCTCCCTAATATATTCTCATTCTGCAGAGGAAGAACTCAGATCTCCAATGACTCTAAATTGCCTATAATCACCCTGATGTGAGTGATCTAGTTATGTTCAACATTCTTATCCACCATCACAACTCAAAGGCATCTATTCCTCTTTTATCATCCTTAGTTATTATCCAGCTTTTGGATGCATAACAAGTAATTGCAAAGACCATGGCCTAGATCAAGTGCACCTTTGTCTCCAGACTGATATCATTGCTCTTCAGTTATCTGGAGAGGTCTCTGACAGCCCATTTTCCCAGTACAATTTGTTTTTTTATTTTCTGGATGCTAGTGCCAAATGTGTTGGAGCCAAGCAAGCTGGAGTTATCAACATTCTCTTCTCAATCCATTATGAAGCTGCTTATTGGCCCAGTGGTGATGATCTTTGTTTTCTTGGTGTTGAACTTCAATTCACATTGAAGACTACAGTTCTTGACCTTCTGCAGCAAATGCCTCATGTCCTCATCAGTTTCAGCAAGCAGGGTTGTATGTGTCAACTGCATAATGCAGGTTGTTGGTGAGTCTTCCTCCAATCTTGATGCCACATTCCTCCTCATAGAGCCCAGCCTCCTGAATGATCTGTTCTGCCAAGTTGAAAATGTGTGCGTATAGAATGCATCCCTGATGCACACCTTTCCTGATCCTGCACCATGCTCTGTTCTGACTGCTGCTTTATGGTCCAAGTTTAGGTTTTGTATGAGCACAATCAAGTGTTCTGGGATCTCCATTCTTCTCAAGGTTAGCCACAATGTGTTGTGATGACACAGTAAAATATATAGTCAATGAAACACAGATAGATATTCCTCTGGTACTCTCCGCTTTCAGACAAGTTCCATCTAACATTGTCTATGATGTCCCTAGTATCAGGGCCTCTTCTAAACCTAACCTGCACATCTGTCAGTTTCTGGATAATCTTCAGCAGGATCTTCCTTGCATGTTATTTTAGTGGTATTGATGTTGTTATATGCTGTCATGTCGCTTGCAACTCAGCGACCCTATGCACAAGAGCCCTAAACACTGCTCTATCCTATGCCAAACTTGCCTTCTCTGACACTCTCATTCTCACCACCCCAATCACAGAGTCCATCCATTTCATCAAGGTTCTTCCTCTCCTGCACCACCCCTCCATTCTCCCAAACATGATGTCCCTCTCCAAGGACCAGTCCCTCCTTGCAACATGCCCAAATTATGTCAGATGAAGCTTCAGAATCCTTGACTCCAAGGAGCATTCTGGCTTCACCTTCTCCAGGACAAACCTATTTGTTCTCCTAGCAGTCCATGGTATACTCAACACTCTTCTCCAGCACCACAGCTCAAAGGCATCAAGTCTCTTTCTATCATCCCTAGTCACTGTCCAGGTCTTCAATGCATAGCACGTAATTGCGAAGACTATAGCCTGGATCAGGTGCACCTTAGTCTCCAGCCTGATGTTATTGCTCTTCAGTATTCTTGAGAGGTCCCTGACAGCTGACTTTCCCAAAACAATTCATCTCTTGATTTCCTGGCTGCTGGTATCAAGATTGCTGACTGTGGAGCCAAGTAAACTAAAACTGTTAACTATCTCAATCTCTTCACCATCCATACTGATGTTGAGCTTCAATCCATATTGAAGGCTACAGTCCTTGACCTTCTGCAGCAAGCACTTCAGGTCTTCTTCAGTTTCAGCAAGCAAGGTTGTGTCATCTGCATAATGCGGGTTGTTGATGACACTTCCACCAATCCTGATGCCACATTCCTCCTCGTATAGCCTAGCAACCCGGATGATCTGTTCTGCATACAGATTGAAAAGATATGGAGACAAAATACAACTCTGACATCATTTGATAATTTCCACACTGTTGGGTCACCTTTTTTTGGAATGGGAATATACATAATTGTGGTGCTGGCGGAGAGTGTTTAACTCATCATGGATTGCCATGAGAACAAACAGGTCTGTCCTGCAGAGGGTGAAACCAGGCTGCTCCCAGGAAGCAAGGATTTAGAAGCTCCGTCTCACATACTTTGGAGGGGAACATCATGCTTGGAAGGGTGGAGAGATAGTGCAAGAGAGGAAGACCCATGATAAAATGAATTGACTCTGACTGGAGAAATGGGATTAAGTCTGTCAGAGATGATGAGATTGGCTCAGAATAAGGCAGGTTCCAGAGCTAATGTATATAAGGTTGCTATGAGTTGCAGGCAACTTGCTGGCACATAAGAGCAACAACATGAGTGGCCAGGTTGGTCCAGACCCACATGGTTACTTTCAGAGGTTTCCATATACTTTTAGTGCTACAATTATTCTACTGCTGTGAACACTCATAAACAAATACTAACTTTCTTTTTCCCATTTAAAAGATAGAGATAATAAAATATTTAAGTCTTCAATCTCTTTATACACCACCATGCCCATGACATCAATCATGGATTGAATTTTGTCTACCAAAAATATATGCTTACTTGATTGAAGCATGATTCTCAGTATTTTTCAATGTAGGGATGTTATATTGCACTTATATAAATAATCTCCCAAAATCTAATAATCCAATCCATCAAAAAGGGATAGATGGGTTGCATATTTTCAGGAGGAACCAGTTATTGGAAAAAGACATCATACTGGGGAAAGTTGGTCAAAAAGAAGATAACCCAAAGACATGAAAAATGAGAGGTACTGATACCACATTGGACTTGAGCATGACAGAGATCTTGAGGACGCTACAAAACAGGGCAGGGTTCAGATCTGTGGTTCATAGAGTCACTATGAGTCATAGTTGGCTTGACAGCATTTAACATGTTTTTCATCTCAGAAAAAGTTTATCAGCATTATTAAAAACACTTTCTTTAATAATGACAGAGAGAGAGATTTACTAAACATAGCAGAGTATCAGTGGCGATACCTTACAACCAATGTCTGGAAGTGCATAGACAGCTTTATTGCCAGTCTTCATGTTACCAAAAATAACCCATGTACAGGTCCCACGTGGAGTCATGGCTATTGATTTGTCTGGGCCTAAGTACCTACTGCAGGTAAGTGTAAAAAAATATCTTCCCCCAGAGGCGCACGGTTCGAATCCACCCGCTCTGCCGGGGAAGGAGGGACAATCTCCTCCTGTACCAGTCAGATCTGATTTGACGGTACACACACACACACAAAAAAAAAAAATAAATTAAAAAAATTTAAAAAAATCTTTCATCATAATTGACATGTGACCTGTATTACTGAATAAAGAGTGATTAAAATCCTCAAAGAATTGGATATCTATATTTTTTTTTAAAAGCCACATTTCTTTTACATACTACAAAGAAATAATGAGTATTTTAACTTTTTTAATTCTTACATGATACCTGGTGTGGCAATCCCCATGGCACAGGCCCTCTTCTGGATGGAGCATTCTTGGGGCAGACCCTGAAGACTTCATACTCTCGTGTGTTTATACTGGTTTGAGAGATGTTGTCACTCACCCAAAACATAGTGGTCATTTTACTTGTTACCTTCACAGCAGTACAGTCTGGTCAAAGCTTCGATAACAAAGTGGTCACTTCTGGCAGACTGTTCACTTGTTCTTCTCAATACTACTCCTTGATTTCCAAAATTTCTGATCGTTTCTCCCACTTGAAACCTATGTTTTCGACTCAGGGATGAAATGGCAAAACGAGGGCAAGGATGATCCTTACTTCTAGTTTGCCCCAAGAGCTTCTGATCTCTTTTAACAAAGTCAGGAGCTGATCACAGCAGTCCAGCAAATTCAAACAGCTGATGACATTGTAATGGAAGCCCGTGTTCCATAGTTTATTTTTCCAAGCGTTCGTTTTTTTCTTTTTCCTGAAGCTGCCATATCATGGTTTCACATAGCTCAGTGGAATAAATTTCTTCTAAATGAGGGCTCATGATTTCTGTGGCTTCTCCATCGCCAGAACCTAAATCAAGAAGTCTATGGGTTTTCCATTCTGGATGAATTTTACGCAGTCTCTAAAACGGATATGGCGAAAACACGAACATTGATCCCCTTCCTAGCAACCCTCTGATAGAGGTTCTAAACATAAACAGGCTAAAAACGTTGACACAGCGTCCACATCCTCTGCCCTAGCCACACGGATACCAGCAGCAGGCAAAGCCTGGCCACGAACAGTCTTATGGGGCCACAGCCCCTCACTCCCATGACCATTGGTGCCCGGGGCAAAGAGGAAGAGACACCACCAACACAGGCCACCGCCGCTGGGGCTCAAGCCACCACATATTTTTATTAGAAGTTAGATGATTCTGTTGCGTCTCTGGCATTCATGCTGTTCATTTTGGCACTCTTAGATTGATTGTATGACTTTCATCACTCTTAAACCACACCTTCTCCATTGCTGCTATTGCTGCTCACTTCTTATCCCTTCATTAATAAAGAGCAAGGGCCTCACCTTAAATACTAAGGTGCACCTAATTTAAGTCATGGTCTTTTCAATTGTCTCAATATGTCTCAAAGTTTGAATAAGGGAGCCTGAGAAAGAATTGATGTCTTTCCTTGAGGTGCTGTTGAAGAATATTGACTATACAACACACTGGGAAAAGAACAAAAACCTCTAACCTGGAAGTTTAACCAAAATGGTCCTTAGGGAAAGACTTTATCTCACATACTTTGGACATGGCTTCAGGAGTTAGTCCTCGGAGAAGGACATCAAACTTGACAAAGTAGACAACCAGTGGAAAAGAGGAAAATCTTCAACAAAATAGATTGACACAGTGAGTATAATAGACTCAAATAGTAGCCTTTGTGATAATGGTGCAAGGTCAGATAATTCTGTTGCACCAGGGGTGCAATGAGTTGGACCTGAAGGCATCTAACAACAGCAACTATAAAATAAGCAGCATCACAGAAACCTGCAGGTTACTCTCCCACCCCTACTCCAGAACAATGAATTAACAGACAAGTGTTCTAACCCAAAGACCAAACTATATAACAAGAATGCACGAGTAATCCTAAAACTAAGCTAAGCTAATATGCCTTGCTGGAGATGGTGTCTTTGTAAGTCCAAAGGGTGGGTACAGACAGAGCAGTAAAGAGATAGTCGTTGCCAATCTGACAT